ATTTTTAACAAGTTATAGAAAAATATATAAAATTTGTTATCTACTTATTAATATCTATATAAAATTTGTTATATAAATATTTTATATAATATTTACCATATACATATATAACTTCTGAGCATAGGGGCTATTAAGCTTGGGCCCATCTCACATTATACGTGGACCTAGTGTAGATTCAACCTAGGCCTCACCCAAAAGAAAATAGTTGCCTAAGCTCGGAAAATTGCACTTTTGGACAATTTGGTCTAGGTCATAAATGATCCTCCGTAAGGAGGAGTTATATGGAATTTTTGCTTGAGACATTATTATTTTTAATATTTTTATATGATATGCAAATAGTTTGTTTTATTACTTTTTATTATTAATTTTAACTTTTTTATTAACATCAATTATATTTAAATGAAACTCAAATATATTTTAATTTTTTATTTATGAACTATTTTTTATTAAATCCTTAACTTTTAATAATTGTTAGATAAAATCTTGCTAAAGTTTAATACATTTTTTATTAACTTTAGTCATTTTTTTTTATTTAAGTTACTGGAATTTAAATTATAATTTTATGACAATTAGCCAATTAAATGGAATTTGAATGAGAGTAAAATTCTCTCTCTCCTAACAAATGTCTAGGAGGATAATAACTCTTGCCATTCAAACTATTGGATGCCAACAATTGGTGGGACTCACTCATGATTAGTTGTTATATGATGTGGAGTAAAAAAATCAGAAATTCAAGAAAAAAAAGGAAAAAACACACCCTCCCTTGTTTGAGTGTATGTGTGTCTGTGTATAGGTTTCTAGTTGGGACTTATGATGCAAGTGCATTGTTAAGTGAAGTTCAAGCAAAACAAGCCCCTATCCCCCTTATGTCCAACCCAATTATATTTGGATAATTTATCTATTTATAATGTTTTTATTAAAAAATTTTAAACTTTTATTTGTTTATGTGCTAGACCAGGCCCGCGCTAGGATGAAATGAGCTCCCCTAAACAAAGTGAAGGTGTTTGATTTATTATTCATTTTTTCAAAGAAATAAGAGTCATAGGCAATTTAGTGGAGTAATTGAAAGGATGGAGAATTAGTGGTAGGATGTTAGAATTCGGCTACCAAACCAAAATCCAAACTGAATCAAATCAAATAAGTAAACTAGTTTGGTTTATATGGTTTTCAGTTTGGTTTGGTTTTAATTTTTACAAAACTTTAATTTTCGATTTTTGGTTTACATACATACATACATATATATACATATATATGTGTGTATAGTATATAAGTATATATGTATATTTATTAATATAAAAATTATATTAATATAATATATAATATTTATTAATATCAAGGTTCAAAATATCAATATGCCTGATATGCCGATAGGGGCATATCGGGCGAATCAATACCTTTTTTTTACTTTTTTTTATTTTTTCAAAACCGGTTCAGGGGGGTCAGTTTAGGGCTCCTCCACCCCTGAACCAATCAGACCCCCAATACACCCACTGTAGGGGCATACCAGAGAGGTCCCAGAACGATACGTATCAACCGATACTAGCCAATATGTATTGATACTTTAAACCTTTATTAATACATATAATATTATTTATTAACTTGTCTAGCATGTCAATGAGCCTAAACCAAACCAAACCGAATTGAATTCAATTTGACTATAACAAGTTCAGTTCGGTTCAGTTTGTTAAAATGCCTAAACCAAAATGTCAGTTAGGTTCTTTGTTCTAACAGAACCAACTAAATGAACACCCCTAATCAGTGGAGTAAGTTATTGGAGGAAAGAGAGTTAATAGCATGATTAATGAGGAGAGATAATCAAAGGAGATAATGAAAAAGAGAAGAGAGATTTAATGGCGAGTTAATGAAGAGAGATGAAAGTCTTAATAATGATTGGCCACTTAAATTGTTTTGTCCAATTTGTCAATTAACTTTAAGATTTTCATCTCTCCTCATTAATTCACTCTTATTTTTTCCATCAACTCCCTGATTATCTCTTCTCATTAATCATGCCATTAACTCTCTCTCCAAACTCCACTAATTCTCTCTCATCTCAATTACTCTATTAAATTGCTTAAAATTTATTAACTCTTTTTTTTTCTTTTTTTTTTACTTTGATTTCTTCTTTGAAAAAATGAATAAAAAACAACACACTTTGCTTATGGGTAACATTCTATTTCAAGCTAAGCCGGGGCATGCATTTGCCTCACAAATTTTAGAGCCAAGCTTAGGCCTAATTAAGGGTGATCACAGGCAGTTAACCAACTATATATGGGCATATATTTTGAAATTGAACCAGTCCTTTTTTTTGGCATTGTTTTGAACCGAACTAAATCAAATCAATTGGTTAAACAGTTGATCAATTTGGTTTTTAAGTGGTTTAGTTCCTTGTTTTTTATAATATATATTATAAATAAAGATATGTGTTGTATATTTTAAATATAATATGTCAGTTTGGTTTATCACCAATCTTTCTTATAGATTAATTAAAAACTAAATCAGTACCTTTGATTTTTAAAAATATCAAACCAATCAGTTTGATTAACCAGATTTTTCAGTTTGGTTTCCTTGACTTGGTTCAGTTTTTCAGTTTTCGACGAGCACCCCTAGCCCTAATACTTCAAGGTTGGCACAATCCCACCAAGCCCACAAACAAATAAAAGTTTAAAAATTAGTTAATAAAAATATTATAAATAGTTAAATCACCCAAAACTAATGCTTGATTGTGAATGGGAGATTCTTCTTTTTGAATTTTTTATTTTTTATTCCACATTATATTACAAAAATAACCAATCATGAGTGAGTCCCACCAACTGTTATCAATACTAATTATTTATGAACTACTATTTTTTAGTAATTTCTTTTTTTTTTCAGGTTGTCAATCAACTTTAAGACTTCCGTCTCTGCTCATTAATTCACTCTTAGTTCTCCCATCAACTCCTTGATTATCTCTTCTCATTAATCATACCATTAAATCTCTCTCCAAATTCCACTAAGGCCTGTTCGCTTTTTGGTAAGTTACTTACCCAAGTAAATGTACCCATGTTCTTTTATTTCCCATGTAAATAAAGCAATGACCAATTTTATTCATAAAAATCCATTATTAAAATGGGCATTTTGGTCTCACTCAAGTGTTGGCAATTTTTACTCACGTGGAAAAATTAATTACCCACCTACGAGATACCCAGAAAAATAAACTTTCCTTGATCTCCACATAAATCTGAAAAAGAACAAGGGAGAATTTTAATGGTAGGTTAATGAAAAGAAATGAAAGTCTAAAAGTTGATTGGCTATTTGAGTTATTTTATTCAATTTGAAAAATAAAAAATTCAGGAAAAAACACTAAATAAAAAAATGACGAGGAATAGAGGCTTGCTGACACGTCATATTTTCTCTTTCAGTACGTACTAGTTGAAAAAGCCACTTTTTTTTAATTGATTAGCTATTTTCTCTTTCAGTACGTATTATTTGAAAATGCCACTTTTAAGTACAGAATGAAGTACTAGTAATTCATCAAAGTTTTCTTTAATATATATTTTGTTTTTCTTTGCATAAAATAGTAGAAATAATCATTTTTTCTGTTTAATTATTATTTTTTAAAATTATTCCTTTTTATATAGCTTAAGTACATAAAACAAGTGCTTAGCATGAGATCAATAACCATTTTAAGAAAAACAATTTCAAATTTAAAATAATCAAGATAACCAAAGACTCACTTTAGGTGCTTTTCCTCTTACGTTTTACTAAATATCATAGCAATCCATGAAACAAATCTAAACGAAACTATTAAAAAAAATACAAAAAACACCCATGGAAAGGAGCAACAGATTATAGAAGAACAACGGTTTAGAAAAAACCATTTTTTTCTATCTTTTATAGAAGAACAAGATCAATTCACCCCATGTTATTTTGACTAATTATGTTCATGGAATAAATTTTAAAATTAAATTTATTTACATTTTGGTAGAGGAGGGATTATGATTTGCGTGATAGATTAAGGAATCTACAAATTTAAAGGTATTAATAGGGAGACTGGATGTAAGAATGGGATCTAATTGGGGCCCTTTATTGCCAAAATGACACTTTATAATGTAAAATAAAGATAAGCTAATTTAAAAGCTTTTGGTTAGAGATGAGGAACCAAATTAAATGACACTTTATATAGATGAGGAAACAAATTAAAGGAAAATCCTCGTCTATGGAGTCGATCACGTACCTTCTAGTCAAGGTTCAAAGTATCGGCCCGTATCAGTCGATACGTATTGTTTCAGGACCCCTTCGATACACCCCTATAGTGGGTGTATCGGAGGTCTGGCCGGTTCAGGGGTAGAGGAGACCTAAACCGGTCCCCCTGAATCGGTTGCAAAAAAATATAAAAAAAAAATAAAAAATCTAAAACACGGCATATCAAACATAGATCAATGTCACTGACATACGCATTAAAAGGAATCCACCTAATGTTTGTAAACCTTTTGCATTAGAATCCATTTATTCAACGATGGGCAGCTTGATATACACAACGATTTCTGGACTTTCAAAGTGGGCCTCACATCACACATAAGAAGCTATGTTTGGTGAAAAACCTGAATAGTTCAAATATTGTGTCAGACAGTCATTAGAATCCATTTATCCAGGCACATCAAACAAGTTGAACCGGCGTAGCTGAATCTTCAGCTTGGCACTTCCAAACAGACCTTAATTCAGCGGAATCGCATTTTTTTTTATAGTGAGAAAACAGATCCAAAAATGGCGTTAAACCACTGGTTTCAGTTTTAACGCAGCGGCCCTATTAATGGATCACAACTCTGCATTTTGGTCCTCAGGTCCATACGGTTTGAGTAGTCGTCCTAAGCAGGATGATGGAACAAATGGCGTTCTTAAACTATGCAAAGTAAATTAATTTACACATACAAATGTATTGCAGTGAAAGCTCTATTTCACTTTCGCTTCAGTTTTGTTCTATTTTATAAAACCAAAAAACGAAAGTTAACCAGAATTTGCTCTTGACTAGAAACCGTCTCTAGGGCATTAAGCATTTAAAAAAAATTCCAAGTACAAGACAGTGATCCAAAACTAGAACTTTTCCATGTGCACACCAATTCATGAAGGCTAGCACAGTAATCACTTTGGATTTGACAATTACATCCATTTTTCAATCCATATCAGTATGGATCTGACAATTACAAAAGAAAATTAGATCTTAAAGAATGTAAATGCAAACTGAAGTCCAATTGGAGTGCTACCAAGGAGCAGTAACACCACTCTGAATACAAGAAAAAATAGAGAGAAAAGAACACAAGTAGGAATTTCTTCCCTGAGAATGTTCATCTACTTCTTATGCATTCTTGAATCAGGAGAGTTGTGATAGAGAGGTGACAGAGGTTGTCTTGGCGAATCTGGTCCATTAAGATCATTCATCTTCTCGACTGCACAGATCTTGGGACTAGATTTTCGTTTATTTCCCTACATATTGAAATGGGTAGTAATGTAATGCTGCAGGGTAATCATGTAAACTAACAATATGACAAAGACTAACTGCACATTAAAGACAGTTTAATGGGAAGGAAATAATTTATGATCCCCGCCCATTCTACCACTAGTAATAAATTTTGGGATTAAAGAAAAAATCCCAAGTGAAAGAAACCTAATTACTGAAGTTGGAACCACATCATCATACATGTAAAAGAATCAACCATACTGAAATTTTGGTATCCCTCACCTTGGCAGAAGCACTACATGTATGTTTGCCACCAGATCCTTGATGATTCCTTTCTCTATTCAACAGCCTCATCAGCCTTTTGTTCTCTTCATCCAAGATACAATTTTCTTCACAGAACACTTTTACCTGGAAAAAAAAATAAGAAAGATTTCAATTAAGACTTAGGACAACCTACCCAAAGATATGTAAAAAAGTTATAACATATTCTTACTTCCTCTTCAGCTCTGTGAAGGTTAACCTTTAGATGTTCTTTGTCCTTCTGCAATGTCTTGACTTCAGCAGCTAATGATATAATGTTTTGAGTTGATGGATTCAGCCTGAAAAATGGAAAGAGAAATCTATAACAATCAACTTGATTGATATTTTCTTTCGTCTTTATTATTTCCACTGATAAGCAGGAAACAGAAAATGCAGATTCAGTTGCAAAGAAAACAAGCTAGAAACAGATTTCAAGTTTTTTTTGACTCCCCAAATTTGGAAACAGATTTTCAAGTTCATAATCAACTAACAAATTGCTAAAAGTAAAACTGGTGTTTTGATATGGTGAAAACTAGTCAGCTTTATTGAGTTAATAATAGAAAGCAATTAGCTCTATAGAGATTTTTCAATTCTTTTCTACTGGTTTCCATGGTAGACATTATCCCAAATTTTAATAAGATAGCCATCACTTGTGCCAGAAGTCCTGAGATTTATACGCTTTCACTATCATTGTGATGGCAATGGCAATACTAAATTACTAATACTGAGAAGAGCTTACCATTCCCACATCTTAAGCAATTTTTGGCATGATTCAACTCCATTATTTGCCTCCAAGAAAGCACGTGCATTAGCTGCAACTGCATCTTTGTCAACCAACGAGGCTACCACTGATTCAAGCAATTGACATTCCAAAGTTGACCCAAACCCTGTATTATGAGCCTTTAAAGTAACCAAAGAAAATACATGTCAGCCCTCATTAAAGAGAGACAAGAAGACAAGAGATTCAGAAGAAAGAAATAAAAAATTGGATAACCAACCATGACCTATTATTGATTTAGATTAAGTTAGTCAAAAAAGGTAATAAACAGATTTCATATATTGCATGGAGGAACATAACTTCACCACCTTGACTTAGATGTTTTAATTTCTTCTTACGTATGCTGGGCAAACCCATACTTGGGCTATGAGATTGAAGACCACCTAAAACTGGATTATGGATTCATGTCATAGTTATAATTTGCATTTCCCTCCTTTCTATTTTACTTGAAAAATGACTATATGGATTAATCAACTTTATTCAAGATCAAGAATACTGAGAGAAGCACTCATAAAAGATAGGTCAAGTTTACTAATGTCAAAGGTTTCAGGAAAATAGTTCTTTAAAGACTAAATTTTTAATTTGGTAAGTGGTACAGTACATGCTATCCTAACAGGAGTCATCCAAAAAAAGGATGCAACAGTTCAAGTGAAATAAATGGCAAAGGGAATAAAGGAGTCAAAAATCAAAAGAAAGCCAAAAATCAACAAAAACAGCAAGACAACATATCATGGCTGGTTAGTCAATCCCAGCCATGATCTAGTCAATCACAACCTGTGTGAAAGTGATATTCACATGGTTGGTCATCAAATAAACAATACAACAGCAATTACCGTATTCAAAACAACTCTAGAAATTCATCCAAGCACAGATCCATCCATCAACTTCCAATACCAAGACTCCAAATATGGGATCAAATATAAAACAGGAATAAATAAGAACCTAGAAATATTCAAGAAAAGTTTCACCACTCACAACAAAAGACTGAGATCAACTCCAACATATCCAGATAAAATACCAAATTGAGAGAACTAATCTGTAACTCCAATATTTTTTCAAAAAGACAAAAAATCTTAACACGGATCCTAACTAGTAAAGGAGGTCTTAACACAGATCCTAATGTAGTGGGTAAAGAAGCAGAAGCAATGAAAATTTTACAATACGAAAGAGGATAGGCTAGCAAATGTTTGAGAATTAATTTAGGATGGTTATAGGCATATGATATATTTAGAGAAGAGATTGGTGAATTTGAATGGAGAAAAAAGTGAAGTTTTGAAAATGTTTATTTAGGGGAAAATCAGTTATGGATGCAATGTTTAGCAGCACAAGGTACAATCTAAAATAGTTCCATATTCTGTGAAGTATAAAAGGGAAAAGCACAGATGCTTGGGGTCACAACACACAAGAAGATTCCTTTCTTTGTTTGGCAAAAATTTGAAAAACACAAAAATTACAAAATTGTTACTCAATATGGAATTGGGAGAAAAGTCCTTTCTTTGTTTGTATACTGCATAATTCTCCCTTGGTTCAAAAAGCTCATTCTCAAGTTTTGCAGAAGAGAACTTGAAAGTTCAAGTTACCATTCACAACATGTTTGGAGTCAAAATTCTGCCTTGAATTACAATCAAAAGGGTCTTTTAATTCCTAACTAATCTAAACAAATAATTCCCAACAGCCATAAACCCTAACACTGGGGGGAAACCTCAACCCATGATGTAGGAAAGAGAACCCAACCTCCAACCCATAAGGATGCTCACTCCAGACACACTAGATTCTTACAGAACAATAATTGGTCTATAAGAAAATGTCAGATGTATCAATTAATACATGAGCGCCATCTCAAATCAAAGAAAAAAGTCTCTACTCAAATCAAACTTCTCAATAACTAATGTTTCTAGATTTCTGGAAAAACCACTATAGTTAACCTCTAGGCATCAAAATTGCATAGTTGACTTCTAAATATCCTTCAAAAAGTAGACAACTTGGAATTTATTGATTAGCCTTCTCAATTCTCCATACAATATGCTAATCCTAAATATGAAGATGTAAAAGAGAGAGAAAAGAAAGAAGAGAAGAAAAGAGGATAGAAAGAAGAGAGAACTATTTGAAGGAGAATCAATAGCATGAGGCACAACCACTCCCTTCAATTTATATTAGCTTAGGGACCGTTAGATAACAGCTGAAGTGACTGAACTGAAAAGTTTATTGCTTTGTCTTTTAGTAAACATGTTTTTAAAGAGGTTGTAGGCTCCTTAATTACTGAAGCTGAAAGCTCTATAGATAATTATAGGCTTGAATATTTTGTTATTTGACCATTTTCTCCACTAAAAGACTGTTGATAAAAGTTGTGCTGTATTTTTAGTTTCTTTTATTTACTAGGAGATATTGGGCTTTGGCCCATGGGCTCTATTTTTTTATGTTTTTAAGTTCCCTTTCCTAGCTGCCTAAGTAGTCATCCTATTGAAGGCATATTGGAGATTGTACACTATTTATTCTTTTAATATAAAAGATAGTGGGAGGGGGCAGCCTGATTAGTTTTTGGCCTTCTCTTCCCTCTTCTCCCATCTTCTTATTCTCTTCTTCTACTCTCAAGAAACTCCTTTTCTTCACTTTTTTCTTAAATCTTTCTTATTTCTTTTCTTTTCCACTTGGTATCAAAGCAAAGTTCAGAGGATCTTGGATTAGATCCATGTAACCCTAGATCAACCGACATGGAAGAATAGAAGGCTGGTCAATGGTTAATGAAAGGCCCAGTTCTTGGATTTTTTGGACTTCAGACTCGATGAGTATCTTGATTGATCATCAAAATCAGGAAGAATTGGAGAAAGAACAAGAAACCTAGTTGCAGTGGGACTCCTTATTTTTGATATGAAGAGTGGCAATCAGGATTTTTTGGGTTTCTAGGTGATTTTCGTAAGGGGCAATTTAGTTTCAAGGTGATTCTAGGGCTCCTGGTGAGATCGATTTGATGCTAGAAGTGTTTTCTTGTTTTCTATTTGTGTTTTAAGCTGTTTGAGAAGCTATGGAAGGTAGTGGAGTTGAACAACAATTGGCCAATGACCTTGGGCTGGGTGTGGATGGAGATAGTGGTCCTTTGGGTTCAGGTACTAATATCACTATAGTTAAATTAGATGATCCAAACTATTTAGAATGGTCACAATCAGCCAAGATGGCAATTGGTGCAAGAGGAAAACTAGCTATATCACTAGTGAATTATATGGTACATGAGAATTATATGGTGATGACCTAGCTATGTAATTCTATGCTATCTCATATAAGCAGAAATTTCTTGTGGACTAATACAACTAAAGAAATTTGGGATGGGGTTGCAGACACTTATTGACAGAGTGAAATGTTGCTAGAGCTTATCAGTTAAGTAACCAAGTAATTAGAACAAGTCAAGGAGATAAGCCTCATGCATTATATTTTTCTGCTTTGAAAACTTTATGGCAAGAGATAGACCATTTAGAGACTATGATTTGTAAGAGTACAAAGGATGTTGCTACCTATCAAAAATTAGTGGAGAAGAATAGGGTTTTTGAGTTCCTAGCAGGATTTTATCTTGAATATTATCCACACGACAGCATAGTCTTTCTCATGATAGTGTAACTCTCTCTCAGGCATATATTGCCTTTGTGTCTGGAGAAGAGAGTAAGAGGAATGTTATGATGAGAAATCCTAGCATTGAACAATCGATGATGGTTAGCACAATTAAACCTAAGCCTAGTCGATATTAGTGTGTGCAAGGTGCAGAAAAAAATGCAAGGGCCATTTTGTGCCCAAGGTGCAAGGCACAAAAATGCTAAAAAAGCCAAAATTTTGAAAAAGTGCATAATAGTAAAAATATTAAACACATAATTAATTAAAATTATAAACTTAAATTTTAAAATAAATGTTTTAAGTAAACCTATTGTCTCAAATTAAAATACATAAAACATAACATGTAAAACATATTTAAAATGAAAAAAAAAATAAAATAAAATCAAGCACAACATATAAAATATATTCAAGCATGTAAACTCTTAATCTCTTTATATTTTTCCAATTGCATTACTTCAAATAGCTAATGCGATGCATTCCTAATTCTACAAGCTGCCTTTGAACCAAGCCCCTCAAGGCAAGTCCAAACAAGTCCATATCAGGGTCTTAAATTATTAATCCCTATAAAAAAAGATTTTATAATTTAAAGTATCTTTTAAAAATATCTTTTATTAGGATGAATGAATGAGCATCATTAGAAAATATCCTCAGCTTAGTTGCTAAGCACAAAAGGACAAAAGATGCACAAATTTTCAAAAGGCACACACTTGGCTTAAGCGCAAGGCACACTAGGAGCATGCCTAGGCACAGCAGGCATGCACCTTTTGAAAGTGTTGCACCTAGGACCAAGGGAAGGTGCATACCCTAAAATGCAACATACCTATTTGCCTAGGCATACCTTTAAAATCACTAGTGGAGATAAGGGTGATAATGGAATGAAAAGGGAGGATAAGAAGGATTTGCTTTGTGATTATTGCAAGAAGCGCAAGCATACCAAAGACATTTCTTGGAAGCTTCATTCATATCTCATACCAGTTCGGCTTAGGAACAATAACAATAATGCAAATATGGCAATAGATAGAGACTATATGGTTCTCTTACTCCAACTTATTTGGAGTCTATTGCAACAATAGCACTCACGGCAAAGTAGGAAGAATATGGGCAGTATGGAAATCAAAGAGATACAATTAGTTCCAATTCTTTACCTAGTGGGCAGAAGGATGCAAGTATGTTCAAGGACTAGTCATACTACTTTGCTCATAAAGGTAGTTCATATGCTATAACAAACTATGTCTCCACTTCAAGTAAGGAGAGACCTCCCTAGATTATAGACTCAAGAGCCTATAGTAAGGAGAGACCTCCCTAGATTATGTCTCCACTTCAAGTAGTTCATATGACCAAAATGGATCCACTTTATTTTCTTCATATCGATTGTTTTCTAGTAAAGGTAGAGT